AGCCGTTCTAAAATAATTTTTATTTAATTTAATTTTTTCTTATTTTATCTAGTTTTTTTTTTATGCATTCTAAATCTTGGAAAATATTGTTAGAAGATCAGTTTTATTTTTTCTTGTTTTGTTTCTTATTTTTGTTTGATCTTATTTTATTTTTCTTCTTTTATCATATGATATATTATGTTGATTTTTAAATATATTGAAAATACTGGTTCTTGTATTTAAAAAAAAAATCATTTTATTGTATTTTATTTATATTATATTGTCCTTTTTATTTATTGTCTTATTTATTTTTTGTTTACTAGTTTATTCTTATATCACATATACTATATTATTTAATCATTTTTATAACTTTTGCCCAGTAGGTGGCGCTGTGCTGAAACTACTCATGTGCTCTCAGGTCATGCTTGGTATAACACGTATCAAGTTTGGTTAGAATCTACTAAAGCGTTGCAAAGATATAGCCTCATGTTTATTTTTACGCAAATTTTGTCAAATTCGTTAAAGCTCTTTACGAGAATAGTTTGGTCTATCGGAAATCTTTTGATAAGTTTTTGCCAGCATTGTCTGAAGATGATCTGAGCCAATTATGGTGAAAATCGGACTAGGACGAGTTCGAAAAAGTAGATTTTTAGCAAAATTCCAAATTGCGAAAAATCTAGACCCGAAGAAATTAGAATTTTGGTATGCATTCGCCTCGGCATGAGCCAAGGAATCCGAGGAAAAAGAATTTTGCTTCTAGACCGGTTCAAAAGTTATTAGCAGGAATATTAGTGCAGATTTGGCCTAGTGGTGGCGCTAGAGAGTTTGAGATAGAGACTCCAAATTTGCTGTGGTTAATATTGAGACTGTCCTTAATCTGTGTGCCAAATTTCATAACTTTCCCGTTAGCGGTTCTATGGGCTGCCATAGACTTCCAGAGCAGAAGAAGAAGAAGAATCGAAAGATTAATAATAAGAAAACTAATGGGTACAATAGGTGAACACCTTTGATATTTTTTGGCCAAATTTTACATCCCTACAAAAATCACACACACACACACACACATATATATATATATATATATATATGTCAAAAACGAAAAAGAGTTTAAGCTTAAAAACAATACTGCTTTAAATTGTTGTTTTTCCAAAAAAAAGAAAAATTCAAAAATTCAAAAGTTTTCGGTTTAATGTAATTGTATTTTTGTTTTTGTTTTTCTGGGCAAAAAATAAATATCATACATTTTTCCCTGATTTACAGAAGAGACCCACTAAAATGTCATTCAGTGTAACAATCTTGTCAGGCATATTTACAACAAAAATCAATTTATGACACATTAAAAGACTAATTACTTTCACCCCAAATACTAATTAGTTGTAATTTTACATTTTTTAAACATGCCACTATCCTAAGTTTGGCCCATTTATCAGTAAGATTTTTTTTACTCATTTAAAGCACAATAAAATTTAATATGCTCCCTTATTCTTTTATATATTTTAATATGTACAGGTCAGAATAAGCATGTTGTTTGAATTTTTGCATAAATATTGTGTTACACTGAATGACAATGTAACATTATTTCAACCAAATTGTAACATTGTATCCTCCAAAAACTTATTTGAAACCTTAAAAGTAGACACTTTACTTACATTTAATGTGCTTTCTATGGACATAAAATCACTTGTAAATTTTGTATATATATATGTTTTTAAATTGCATTTTAAATTACCACAATTTTTATAAAAAATAAATAAATAAATAAATTATCCCCCAAATTGTGCAGCCCTGTGATTTTTAATCTAATGCTTTATTGCTGTATCTGTTGTAGCAGTACGTTCATGTGTTGTTCGGTGCTATTTCTATTTGTTGGCGTGTGCATGTTGTTCCTGTTTAACCTGTGTTAAAGTTGAGGTGACGTCCATCACGGCTGCTGAGGAGAAAGCCTGACTCTCCACCGAACACATGCTGCTCTTTTGATTCTGGCCTGCGGTGTTTGTGAAAGCGCTCAGTAAAGCTCGCCTGTTTTTTTCCTGTAATCAGTTTTGGTAGTGTGCCGAACATCTGCGGCCGGTTGTAATTGTGTTTGTGACTTTTTCACCGTTTGATATCTTAAGCTGGATTTGAATTATCGTACTTGAATACTGCTCCTGTTATTTCTGCCAAATAGTGTGCTAGTGTGCTATGCTGAGATTCTCTCCCTCACAGGCCACGCCTCTCTGTTAGAAGCCCCGCCCACCACACTCAAGCCCCTCCCCTCGTCTGTTACATCATCAGCTGAATTCAGAGTAGATTACTAGAATTTAATCTTGAATAAAATTAATACGGATTATATGAATAAAATAAATAATATTTAATTATTATTTTAAAATGTAAATAATAAAATAGAATAATTAATTTCAATTTTTTTTTGTCAAAATAAATTGCTTCACAATAGAAATTTACTGTGCAAGTGAAACCTTGGATGTAAAAATGTCTTGAGTGTGATATTCCTTAATAATATTAATCTAAAATAATAATAATAATGATCATTTTGAGAAGTGTGTTTGCAATTTATCTTATGCATTATTACTGTACAATAGTAATATATTTCTTTCATAATTTTCACTGGACTTTTATTTTGGCAGTTTATATATAAATATAATAACTTAATAAATATTATAAATGTAATTTGATCAAATAAAGAGCTTCACAATAGAACTTTCCTGTATAAATTAAAACATTTTACATATTTTACATTATAGTTTATTTAAATAGTGCTTTGATAATTATTGATGCTAGTCTTTTTTTTTTTGTGTGATGATTTGAATTTGATACATTTTAAAGCCATGCTTTTGAATGATTAATCCGAAATTCTATTTTAGGATCGTTGCGATACTATTAAAGTTCCATTAATATTTTGAATCCATTTTTTTTTTGCTTTTATGTTTTCTGGTTTCATTTTAATTTCAGTTAAAGTTTTAGTAATTTTGTTGCGTGTTTTCGTCATTTTTATGAATTTTTATTTCCGTTTTAGTACATCAAGTTAAAATGAGAAATGAGAACACAGAAAGCTTAAATAAAAAGTATATTTTATTTCAGATAATATTGGTTTTATTTCAGGCAACAAAAATATTTTTTTCTATGGACTTGATTTTAGTCTCAGTTTTAGTTGACCACAATAACTCCATGTTTTAAGGCCTGGATTCTGTCCATGTTTTCCGCATCCTGGAAATCTCCCAACTAAAGGAAGTGCTTTTCATCACACAATAAGATGCACTGAAACGTCCTCGAAAGTTAACCGCTGATTGTGTGCCGTGTTTTCTGGAGTGTGTGCTGTGAGAGGCATGTTGGGATGGCCTCGGCTCCCCCTGCAGCTCTTCCCTCCCTAAACGGGCCCCTCTGACGGGATATAGGGCCCCTGTTCCTCTGCATCGCCCTCCTTTTGTCCTTTTCTTTCGCTAGCGAGCGCTAAAAACCAGGTCTAAAGTTCAGCGTCTCTGATGTGCAGATCTGGGTCAAGTCGAACATTTGGAAAGCATTTTTTCTCTTTCCGGAGCCGAGTTGCAGTCTTCTTCTTCCCTTCATGGCCTGGGATCGTTAAGGGGAAACGCTGTGGCGTGGGAGTCGGAATTCCAGCGGATTCCGTACGGGATCGGCGTTCAGTGTCGAGTCGATGCAGTGAAGTTGTCTGACGTTTCCAGAATGGTCCGTGTCTTTATCTGATCCACAGCCTGCTGTGTTTCTGCACGAAGAGATTCCAGAAGATAACGTCATGTTTTCATTGCATACTTAGTCATTGTAGCTTTCCAGTGTGCAGTATGTGAATTTGAACATTAATTAAAAATTAAGAAAAATGTAAACATAATGACTAAATATGAGTGTGACGAGTGGGGGCGGGGCCGAGAGCCGTGGGAACGGAGCGAGGCCGGTGGAGAATTAGTGTTTTTGCTGTATTTCTGATCAAATAAATACTGGCTTGGTGAGCAGAAGAGACTTTTTAAAAAACATTACAGATTTTACTGTTCAAAAACTTTTGACTGGTAGTGTATAAATTGTTTCACTATATTCTGATTTTCAGATGTTTATCGTTTAACTGGAAAAATATATATTGATTTTAAGGTTCACTATGACCAATACATTTTTCATGAGCATCATCCAGCGGCACTGATGATAAAGACATTGTGCAGCTTCTGATGATCTTTTACCAGGAACAAGAAAACAGCTGCACGAATCATGCTTTCGGCGTGAGTATTCATGGAAACCAGACCCGCTGCATGCTTGCTTTCTTTCCCTCTGCTCTCGTTCTCGCCGACCTTTGACCTGTAGATGCTCTTTTCATCATGCAACGCGCTTCTGTAACTCGCTGAACATTCATTATTCCCGCACACACAGATGTGAATCCTGGTGTAATCCACACCATTAGTGACAGATGGATGGGTTCAAGCAACAGTTCAGCCAAAAAATACAATCTGCTGAAAATTTACTCACCCTCAAGCCACCCAAGATCAGGATGAGTTTGTTTCTTCATCAGATTTGTAGAAATGTAGCATTGCATCAGTGTCTCAGCAATGGATGCTCTGCAGTGAATGGGTGCCGTCAGAATGAGAATCCAAACAGCTGATAAAAACATCACAATAATCATCTTAATGCTGGATGTGTTTCAGCTTTAGTCTTCTCCAGATGTTAACTGATGGACTGGAGTGCTGTGGATTACTTGTGGATTATTGTGATGTTTTTATCAGCTGTTTGGATTCTCATTCTGACGGCACCCATTCACTGCAGAGCATCCATTGCTGAGACACTGATGCAGTGCTACATTTCTACAAACCTGATGAAGAAACAAACTCATCTACATGTTTGAGGATCAGATAGAGTAGGAACAGATTTGAGCTGATGTTTTGCTGTGGATAAAAGCAACTGATTGCATAAATGCAAGTGATTTATGTAAATATGTTCCGGCTCTCGTGGTTGTTGTGGATTCATCGCATGCGAGGTGTTTCTGCAGATCAGGTGACGCTTCTCTCGCTCTGTCCGTGTTTCAGTGATGGATCCCATAGCCGTGAGCACGTCTGCGACGGGTCAGGATGAGTTTGACCGCAACGCGCCGCGGATCTGTGGAGTGTGTGGAGACAAGGCCACCGGCTTCCACTTCAACGCCATGACCTGCGAGGGCTGCAAGGGCTTCTTCAGGTGAACCTTTCTAATGTTACACAGGACTTCTGTCTCAAAGAAATGCTGTTCTGTTGAACTTTCTATTCATCTGTGAATCCTGAAAAATAACTGTATCACAGTTTCCACAAAGATATTGTGCAGCACAACTGTGTTCAACATTGATAATAATCAGAAATGTTTGTTGAGCAGCAAATCAGCATATTAGAATGATTTCTGAAGATCATGTGACACTGAAGACTGGAGTAATGATGCTGAAAATACAGCTTTGATCACAGAAATAAATTACAGTTGAATAGATATTCACATAGAAAACAGCTGTTTTACATTATAATAATATTTCACAATATTACTAGTTTTTACTGTATTATAAATGCAGCCTTGCTGAGCAAAAAAGATTTAAAAAACTTCATGTTTGGACAGCATTAAAAAATGTAATTATTCCAAACTTTGACTAGTAGTGTAGAATATTTCAGGTTAAATTTATTCATATGACTAGTGTACAGTAATAATAATAATAATAATAGTAATACGATTAAAAATATAGTACTAGTGTACAGTAATAATAATAATAATACGATTAAAAATATTACTAGTGTACAGTAGTAGTAATAATAATAAAATGATTAAAAATATTAAGAGTGTACAGTAATAATAATGATAATAATAATACGATTAAAATATTAAGAGTGTACAGTAATAATAATGATAATAATAATACGATTAAAATATTATGAGTGTACAGTAATAATAATAATAATAATAAAACGATTAAAAATATTGAGTGTACAGTAATACTATTAATAATAATAATAATAATAATAATAATAAAATTATAAAAAATATTAAGAGTGTACAGTAATAATAATAATAATAATACGATTAAAATATTATGAGTGTACAGTTTTTTTAATTCTAAAAATGTAAATTATTTCAAACTTTTGACCAGAAGTATAAAATATTCCAAAGTTTAAGTTTATTATTACTATTATTATTATTATTATTATTATTAAGCTCTATCAGCGATGCTGTTTTTTCTGAAAGCTGAAACACATGGCAGACTGTGTGCTGTAGTCCTGCTTTCAGTGAGGACAGAAAAGGGTTGTGTTTGTTCCCGGTGTTATTTTCATCCGTTAAATCCGCCCAAAGGTCAGTCTCTCGTGTGTCTCTTCAGAGCAGAGAACCGCCGCTGTCTGCAGCTCGCTCCACGCTTGTTTTTATTACCCTGCTGAAAAACAGCAGCTTGTGTAACTCATCTGCAGTGACTAAGACTGGAAGAGAGCGGCGCGCCCCGATAGAGTCAGTGACGTCGCTGAAATACAATAACATCTGAATGCGGGAAGGTTGTTCTCGCAGTTTCTCGCTGTTGTTCTCACTGGTACCGTACCTTTAAGAGTCCTGTCTGTCCATCTTTATGGCGTGAATGTCGTTGAAATGTAAATGTGGGCGTCATATGTAGGGCTCTGTGATTTATGGAATGTGGAAAACACAGGAGGAATCCGGTCATAAAAATGAAAGTGAAATAAATCAGAAGAATAAATCATCTGAGAAAACTATCACTACATCCTGCCACAATAAACGTTTGGTTTAATGTGTAGCAGTTACGACAGAAATATATTACTATTGTACAGCAGAATGTAGTGTAATAATATTAATAAAAAATTATTAAATTAAATGATTAAAACTTAATTTTTTTTAGGAATGTCACTTTTTTCATCTTCAAGTCTGACGGTAAACCTCTGTTGTGCAGCACTTTGTTTGCCAAGAAATAAACGGAATTGTTACATTTTGATTTGATGAAAATTATTAAAATTACTCTTTAAACTCTAATGTTTAATGTGAGTTTTGTCTGCTAGGATGGGTTTGTTGGCTTGTGTGTGTGTTTTTTTCACACACACACACTCACTCACACACACACACACTCACACACACACACACACAATCAATTTGCTCTGCACATTCATTTTCTCATTCCAACCACATATACAATTCATCTGAAGTGTCGTTTGTTATGTCAAAAGATGTTTGTATACATTTTGACCCTCTCTGCTTACCGTAGCGAGTTCTCCCCGCCTATTATTCTCTTCTGACGGGTATGAGAGGGTCTTAGACCACACATGGAGCCCACTGCCTCTGCAATGTAACACAAACACATATTTCTATAAAGCATGTATGGGTGAATCTCACGAAATCTGTTAGAAACATCTGCCTTGGTCTTTTCACGATGCACGCTTTGAAGTCCCGATCTGAATCAAATGATTCACGATTCACGCTTTGAAGTCCCGATCTGAATCAAATAATTCACGATACACGATACTGAATCAAATGATTCGCGAAACACGCTTTGAAGTCCCGATCTGAATCAAATGATTCATTTTTAAATATATATGTATCACATTAAAATCATATATTTTTATTTTAGTTTTTTATGCATACATATATCTGATTTATTTATTAATATTATTTTTTTAATGTATATGTATCATATTAAGACCTTCGATGATCCAGTTCAACCATACTAATAAGCAAAAATTACTCTAAACAAACATTTGTGTCTAATGATTAACGATTCACGCTTTGGAGTCCCGATCTGAATCAAATGATTCATTCATCATGCTTTGAAGTCCCGATCTGAATCAAATGATTCACGATTCATGCTTTGAAGTCCCGATCTGAATCAAATGATTCACGATTCATGCTTTGAAGTCCCGATCTGAATCAAATGATTCACGATTCATGCTTTGAAGTCCCGATCTGAATCAAATGATTCACGATACACGATACTGAATCAAATGATTCGCGATACACGCTTTGAAGTCCCGATCTGAATCAAATGATTCACGATACACGATACAGAATCAAATGATTCGCGATACACGCTTTGAAGTCCCGATCTGAATCAAATGATTCATTTTTAAATATATATGTATCACATTAAAATCATACTCATATTTTAATTATATATAAATATATAGAGAGATTTACAAATGTATAATTAAATATTTATAATATATAATGAGAGAGTTTCAGACTCTTGCACAAATTAAACTTGGATCAGTGAAATACTGAGATCTACAATAACATGAAACTATAACTGAGTGTTTATATATAATCTCTTGTGTTTATGAGTCAGTCAGTGTTTTTTGTAAGTTCATCTGTCTTTAATTTAACAAATGGCATATTTCCATACGAGAGATGTTTTGAGAGTTTTCAGGATGATTACAGCTAAACCAACGACAATTAATAACCACATTTTATTATTATTCTAACAACCAGATTTTTTAAAAATCTACTTTTTTTTGTGCAAAACATGCTGTCGTGTTGCTAGGGAGTTGTGGATGGTTGCCAGGGCGTTGATATGCGGTTGCTAAGGTGTTGTGAGTTTAAGAAAACAGCATTAATTAAAACATTTGCTTTGTTTATGTGTTAATTCCAGTTAATTAGTTAATAGACACACACACACACTCACACACACACACACACACACACACAGACACACACACACACACTCTCTCACACACACACACTCACACACACACACACACACTCTCTCTCTCTCTCTCTCTCTCTCTCTCATGCAAATACGCAGTTCATTTAAGGAAAACAGCCACGGTTTCCAGAGAGAGAGAGAGAGCCAACAATGATGCTTTTTCTCCATGAAGTTGCACAATGAGCGACCCAGATTTCATTCAGACGCGAGTGGGAGTCGTGGGGAAGGCAGATCGCCATTTTAAAGCGAAAACGGATACAGTCGCGTATAAAAGAGCCTCTTTGTGTGTCGTATTCGGTCGACCGAGGACAGCAGGTCAAAGGTCAGCGCCGTTTGTAGCTAATGAGATGCTGATCTCACTCTCAAGAGCGCTGTGATGTCATCGTGACATCATCGGGACTAGGCAACCTTAAACAAAATTGGTGATGTGACCACAAATATATGAAGAGTTATCCATTTTACTCACCCTGTGATGCAGCGAAGCCCAATGGGATAATTTTTAGCCACGTTTAAGTTCAAAAAACAGTTTTTTGCTGTTCAAAGTGTCTGAACTTCTGTGCTTCTTGGGTCTGAACAATTACAGACAAATCTGAAAAAAAAAATGTATGCATGTTTGTGCTTTAGGAGGTTATAATATGAGGTTATAATGTTAGCATGATGTTAGCTCTAAACTGCTGGATGATAGAAGTTTGTTAAAATGTAGGAGTGGGGTAAGTTGAGCCAGTGGCTCACCCCTTCTTATGATTATAAAGTATTATTTTACAGCTACTCTACATTATATTTCATTCATTTTAGACCAAAATATTTAGATTTTGTTCCGTTTTGAACTTGATTTTGTTCTGATTGTAACCCAGCGTCTTTAGCCACAGGTGAGGATGCTCAGTCCATCACAAGGCTCACACACAGATTTTAGGAAGGCATTTTTATTGAATTTCTCTCCCTTTGATATAGCATGAGGTGAAAATGTTCGGTTTTACTTCAGCATAATCAATAGCACAGTTTAACTCTATGTGGCTCAACTTACCCCGCAATGGGGGCATATTTTGAAAGCAGTTTATTTTAGAGAAGAGTTATCCATTTTACTCACCCTGTGATGCAGCGAAGCCCAATGGGATAATTTTTAGCCACGTTTAAGTTCAAAAAACAGTTTTTTGCTGTTCAAAGTGTCTGAACTTCTGTGCTTCTTGGGTCTGAACAATTACAGACAAATCTGAAAAAAAAAATGTATGCATGTTTGTGCTTTAGGAGGTTATAATATGAGGCTATGCTGTTAGCTCTAAACTGCTGGATGATAGAAGTTTGTTAAAATGTAGGAGTGGGGTAAGTTGAGCCAGTGGCTCACCCCTTCTTATGATTATAAAGTATTATTTTACAGCTACTCTACATTATATTTCATTCATTTTAGACCAAAATATTTAGATTTTGTTCCGTTTTGAACTTGATTTTGTTCTGATTGTAACCCAGCGTCTTTAGCCACAGGTGAGGATGCTCAGTCCATCACAAGGCTCACACACAGATTTTAGGAAGGCATTTTTATTGAATTTCTCTCCCTTTGATATAGCATGAGGTGAAAATGTTCGGTTTTACTTCAGCATAATCAATAGCACAGTTTAACTCTATGTGGCTCAACTTACCCCGCAATGGGGGCATATTTTGAAAGCAGTTTATTTTAGATCCAAAGTGATTATTGCCAAGGATGCACCACATCCTGAAATTACTGTACATATTAAAGTTGGAGCCATTACTGTCATGTGCTCGCTTTAATTCAATTCAAGTTTATTTGTAAATTCAAGTTTAAACACGGCGTAAGTAAACACTGGCTCAACTCACCCCGCTCTCCCCTATAATTCTATTTCATTTTACTAAACAATATTTGCTTTGTTTGTTTTTTTTTTTGTTTCAACAAGAAATATTATTTTAATCTCATATTTATATTTCACTTTTATTATTATATTTCACAGTTGGTGAAATGAACTGAGAAATATGTGTATGTATCTTTATTTGTATACTGTGTATATCATATATACATTTATATGAAATACAAAAATGAAAAATAATTCACACATAAAAAAATGTGTATATATACATTTTATTTAAAAATATACATAATATAAATTTTTATTATTTGATTTTATACACAAGTAAAAATTATTTATATAAAAGGGCTTTGGTGATCGTATACCATTTACAGGGGTTATAGAATAGAATCAGCCCCACTGTATATGCATATAAACATGTACTGTATTTAAAAAATTAAATAAAAAATAAATGTATTCATGAAACTAATAATATTTAATAATATTAAAATATTAAAATTTCATATACATATAAAATAAAAATAAATAATAACAGAGAAATTTATTATAAATTAAAAAAGTAAAAAAAAAAGATTTACATGTGTAAATATATAAAATAATTAATTTTTGATATTATATACAAGGAAAACATATTTATATAAAAGGTCTTATTGTAAACAGTTAATTGGTGAAATTAGCTAAGAGAAAAAGGTGTATTTATTTATTACACCATACATATTATATACCTGTGTATATATGTGTTTCATGTATTGTTTCATAATTTATGTTATAATTTCATATATTTATGTTTTTGCTTGTGCTATATTTCACCAGGGGACTTTTTATATGAGGAAATAAATGAATTATATAAATAAAAAATGTGTTGATCTTATTGAGCATGATATGAACTGAGAGAAAAGAAAATGTGTTTTCGTAATATTTCATCAATATGTACATCAACTCATTTTTCTGTCTGACGCCATGAATTCCTCTGAGTACAACAGTTTTTGGAAATCGTTCAAATCCCTGAGCGTGGCCTAAGTAAGAGACAGACGCACAGATGGCAGGCGCTCCAGACTGGCACTGTCAGCGGCCCGTTCGGCTCGACCCGCTCCGGGAAACACTGCTCAGTTCAACAGCCCGGGACAGCCGTGCAGACGGCCGCATGTGCAGCGCTTCAGCTGTCAGTCAGCGTCTGTATTTACTCTGCCGCCCGCTGGGCGTCTGAAAAACTGCCACCCGAGTCTCGTCTGGCGGCCGTCCACACCTTCACGGGAGCCTGGAGTCTGAGCCAAGAGCTCCAGAATATCAGCGTGAGAGTGTGTGGTAATCCACGCTGCTTTAGACGTGATAATGAGCGGACGGACGCTGACTTCAGTCAGCTTTACACTCCCATGAATACAGTCTTTTTACAGTGTTACTGAAGAGACTTTGACCAGATAGAAGCGACTCATCATATAAAGCATCATCAGCTGCACTACAGGATGCACAAACATCACAAGCATTTCAATAAGGATGACAAAATTTACACGGAATACAACTAATTCAACTCATTTTTATAACAGATTTGGAAACAGAAGTATTTGACCGAATGTGTTGCTACAAAAATAATTCACACATAAAAAAATGTGTATATATACATTTTATTTAAAAATATACATAATATAAAATTTTATTATTTGATTTTATACACAAGTAAAAATTATTTATATAAAAGGGCTTTGGTGATCGTATACCATTTACAGGGGTTATAGAATAGAATCAGCCCCACTGTATATGCATATAAACATGTACTGTATTTAAAAAATTAAATAAAAAATAAATGTATTCATGAAACTAATAATATTTAATAATATTAAAATATTAAAATTTCATATACATATAAAATAAAAATAAATAATAACAGAGAAATTTATTATAAATTAAAAAAGTAAAAAAAAAAGATTTACATGTGTAAATATATAAAATAATTAATTTTTGATATTATATACAAGGAAAACATATTTATATAAAAGGTCTTATTGTAAACAGTTAATTGGTGAAATTAGCTAAGAGAAAAAGGTGTATTTATTTATTACACCATACATATTATATACCTGTGTATATATGTGTTTCATGTATTGTTTCATAATTTATGTTATAATTTCATATATTTATGTTTTTGCTTGTGCTATATTTCACCAGGGGACTTTTTATATGAGGAAATAAATGAATTATATAAATAAAAAATGTGTTGATCTTATTGAGCATGATATGAACTGAGAGAAAAGAAAATGTGTTTTCGTAATATTTCATCAATATGTACATCAACTCATTTTTCTGTCTGACGCCATGAATTCCTCTGAGTACAACAGTTTTTGGAAATCGTTCAAATCCCTGAGCGTGGCCTAAGTAAGAGACAGACGCACAGATGGCAGGCGCTCCAGACTGGCACTGTCAGCGGCCCGTTTGGCTCGACCCGCTCCGGGAAACACTGCTCAGTTCAACAGCCCGGGACAGCCGTGCAGACGGCCGCATGTGCAGCGCTTCAGCTGTCAGTCAGCGTCTGTATTTACTCTGCCGCCCGCTGGGCGTCTGAAAAACTGCCACCCGAGTCTCGTCTGGCGGCCGTCCACACCTTCACGGGAGCCTGGAGTCTGAGCCAAGAGCTCCAGAATATCAGCGTGAGAGTGTGTGGTAATCCACGCTGCTTTAGACGTGATAATGAGCGGACGGACGCTGACTTCAGTCAGCTTTACACTCCCATGAATACAGTCTTTTTACAGTGTTACTGAAGAGACTTTGACCAGATAGAAGCGACTCATCATATAAAGCATCATCAGCTGCACTACAGGATGCACAAACATCACAAGCATTTCAATAAGGATGACAAAATTTACACGGAATACAACTAATTCAACTCATTTTTATAACAGATTTGGAAACAGAAGTATTTGACCGAATGTGTTGCTACAAAAACATGTAAAGTGTTGCACGGGGAGTTAGCGAGTCAGTGTTTATTTAAATGACATGCTGAAAGGAAATGCACTGGATGAAAGAGGGCATTCTGGGAGAGAAAACGTCTCGGTTACGTATGTAACCCTCGTTCCCTGAAGGAGGGAACGGGGATGTCACGTCGTGACTGACGAATTGGTATGCAATGATTGTGTCCAGCTGCCGCTGATCACAGCGCGAGCATGAAAAGGTAGCAGGTGCAATGCATACCAGGTTTTCGCTGAGGAGCCGAGCCGGTAACCTGGCCGCTCAGAGGTGGTACAGCAGCCGTGGCGACGGGACGTGACGTCTCCGTTACCTCCTTCAGGGAACGAGGGTTACCATACGTAACCGAGACGTTCC